AATATTTTCAATAAAACAAAATAACCAAAATACCCCTGAAAGCTTCAAAGGGTATTTTGGTTATTATATTTTATTCAATAATTATTTTTAACATTTTTAATAGGTGCGCCCCAATGAGAAGATGACACATACCAAATTTTATATTCATACAATTTGTATAAAAAAAAACTAAAAATAGAATACTTTTAGATATCGGATCTAAGATCAAACAATGAGTGGGTCTCTTGATCAAAATTGGACGGCTGGATGGTAAGGGGAGGATGGTTCTTCTATGTTGTGGGGGAAGTATAAAAACCTTTCCTCTATCTCTCTCTCGCTCTCTCTCTCTCTCTCTCTATATATATATATATATGGAAAGGTAGGTACAATATCTAGAAAGGTAGGTACAAATCTGTATATTCATACAATTAATAAACATTGAGAGACTCTTCGCATTCACATTCACATTGTCTCAGTGCCAGGTTCTTCGTCGTGTGTTTTATAGTATGTTTGGGTGTGATTTTTATGGTGAGTTTGTGTATAGTTTAGGTGTTTGTGATTTATTTTTTATTTTGTCAATTATACAATTATGGACACTAAGAGACTCCTCACATGGTAGCAAAGCCAAGTTCTTTGCTGTGTATTTCATGATAAGTTTGGGTAGAGTTTAGGTGTATGTGATTTTAAGATAAGTTTGGGTACAGTTTTTATACTAAGTTTGGGTATAATTTAGATGTTTGTGATTTATTTTTTATGTTGTCTTTTATAATTGTCTATATATGATAAGTTTGTACATTCATACAATTAATATACACTAAGAGACTCTTCACATGGTATCAGAGGTTCTTCGTTGTGTATCTTACAATAAGTTTAAGTATAGGTTAGGTATTTGTGATTTATTTTCTATTTTATCTTATGTTATTGTCTATATATGACAAGTTTGAGATACATACAATTGGCACTTAGAGACGCGTCACATGGTATGAAAGCCAGGTTCTTTTGCCGTATATATTCTTTGCAGTGTATATTCTTGTACGATAAAGTCTATTAATTTATTATTATTTGATCTAGTCTCGAATTGACCCATCTGGAAAATAGTCCTTCCACCTTTCGAAAAATCCAATTTGGCCTTCAAATCTATTAAGTTATTATTATTCGATACTGTCTCTTTGACCCATATGAAAAATAGCTGTCCCGTGCAAATCTTTAAGCTTTGACGGTTCAACTTATTAAACGAGAAAAAGGCGGTGCAACCAAAAATGGCCAAAAAAAAAAAACTTTTGCTGCCCGTCCAAATATTTAACGTCTTGCTACCGCTGTCCCGTGCAAATCTTTAAGCATTGACGGTTCAACTTATTAAACGAGAAAAAGGTGGTGCATACAACCAAATAATTTGTTGTCCGACCAATTAATTGCATCAATGACCTTTTCAACCTCAACAAAAACCATTGGCCATCTCAGTTGCTGCTGCGTTCTTCTGATCCTCAGTTACCGCCATTTCAGTTGTTGCCTTCATATCTGAGCTCGCTGTAGAAGAAAAATAAATATAAAACGCAAGATCTGAGATCACCACCTTAGTTGCTACTACCGAAAATTGGCTCTGTGAAGTGGCATCTGAAATCGGTCAACGAAAAAATGCCTAAGAAAACAAAAAAAAAAAACCTAATGAGAAACGATCTCCGAGAAATCGCCTCTGAAATCTGGTCTAAATCTCTGACCTTCTTCAACCTCCTCCGGATCTGAATCTCCTTGTCCGGATCTATATCTTCTTCCTCCGTTCGTCTCAGTTTCTTGCATCTTTTTCTCTGTGCTGCCTAAAACCTTTTCTCTCAGCCTTCCATCTCAAATATTTTTCCGCTCTTTTTTTGGGTTTTTTTTTTTTCATTCGCTGGTTCTATTTCTCAATTACATTCTCCTCCACGCAGTTCAAGTCATCAGAGTTGATAACACAGGGAAAAACGAGAAGTAGGAGTGTATTTTTGTGTGTGTGTGTGTGTGTGAGAGAGAGAGAGTGGATTTTGTTTATTGTCTAACCAATTGGAGATGAGACGAGACGTGACCTTACTGAACAACCTCCACATCCCATTCTCTGTCGAACTCCAACCCATACCCTTCCAAAGCAAAGCAATCTTCATTACTTGTCTTTATTGCATCTCCCTTCCTTTTGTCCAAACACCCACCGTTTATGTCATTTAGAAAGATGATTAAAGTTCGATTATAGTTTAGAAAGATGGGGAGTCCATTTAGTGATTTTTAGTAGTCTTCTTTGACAATGATGGACTATCAATTTTTAATGAAAAAATGTAGTTTGATATTATTTTCACTTTATCCGAGTGTCTAGTCCAATCTATCTCGGATATGTACCGTTGCCTCTTTCTTTTGGGTTTGGTGATTACCAAATCACATACCCATATATTTTTTATAAAGATTAATGGTATTGTAGGAATGGATCTCTAATATGCTGATGTATCTCAAAGATGAGAGAGAGGCGGTATTCCCTCAAAGAGAGAGAGACATGGCCTCCGAGAGAGAGACGGTATTCCCATGATTTTAGATTGGTTAAGGCTTTCACTTTTAAAGAGACAAAGTCACTCGGTTGCTCTTGAGGTTTTCTTTCCAATAGCAGTATTGTGGTAGGAAAGACGAGGTTATCTTTGCAGTAGCAGTATTGTGGTGGAAAAGAAGGTATTGATCGACAGTGTTGCTCGGTCGGGAAAACGAGTTTAGAAGATATTGATCGACAGTATTGCTCGATCGGGAGAACGAGTTTAGAAGAAAAAATTAGTGATGGTCTTTTACCAATATTTATAGAGAGGTATATCTCTTGTAACTTATAATCTTTATTGAAATAATGAATTTCAACTTGTCGAGGCCGTGGATGTAGCTATATGGGGTGAACCACGTAAGTGTATGTTGTTGTGATGTGATTTTTATGTTTGCTTTATTTCTTGCACTCGATTTCGAGTTGTATTAATCTACTTCACATTTAGCCAATCATGTACACGATTTTGGACGGGATCCCGATAATTGAGATTCTTGATTCTGCAAGCTGGGGGTTCCCGAAATCCCTACACTTTCAAGCCATTGTTTTTCTATCTCTAGAGAATATCTGAATTTTTTTGTTTGTTGTTCATGACTACTCTATTCAAGCTTTCTATTTTTAAGGCTTGTTGATCTGTAAGTGCTTGAGCCTGTCATGTTTTGTTCTTCTGTGCTTGTTGATCAAGCAATTTGAGTACTTGCTTCCGCAACTTAGTCTTCATCCAACTGCTCGCGTCCGCAACTTAGTGTTCAAACAACTGCTCTCTCTCATAACATATTGAGTTTGAGGGGGAGTATGAAAGGAGAAAATATATATTGTGTATCTGGTTAATGTGGAAGGCATATATTGAAATCAATATAGATATATGGAAGGGTAGGTACAATATCTATATTTTATGGTAAGTCTGGTTATAGTTTAGGTGTCTGTAATTTATTTTCTATTTTGTCTTCTATAATTGTTTATATATGACAAGTCTGATTTATTTTTCTATTTTGTCTTTTGTAATTGTTTATATATGACAAGTCTGTATATTCGTACTATTAATGGATACTGAGTCGCTTCAGAGAAACTTGGGACTCTTCACAGTTGCAACCTTAAAATGCATAATTACATATGCACCTCAAAAATCCATTGAAAATGTTGTTTTAATATTTACAAACCCTCTAATTAATCATCTAGACGTCGAGATGTATGTATATAAAAATATAAAAAAAATTGAGTCCCAAAAATAGTGCATATAGCAATACATTATCTAAGACTATCCATGTTCAATATTTTCATATGTTCATAGATTTACTTGATTTTAACTATTTTTGAAGTTTAAATTTTTATAATAAGATATGAAAATAGAGTTCATTTCAAAACTCATGTCTAGACCCAGATTTCATTTCAAAACTCATGTCAAGACCGAACGGTGATTGCATGACTGGTTTTCCTATAGATAGAAGGCAATTCCCTGAGTAAAAGAGGCCTTCGAGCCCGAGGAAAAGAGGACTTCGAGCCCAGAAAAGCAGAAAATCTATCCAAAACCAAAATCAAACCCAATCCCAAGTCACAAGCCTTAGGAGCTCGCTCTAATCCTGAAATCTATCCAAACCAAAATCAAACCACAAGCCTTAGGGCCTAGACTCAACCCCCTCGCTCTAATCCTGAAATCTATTCAAACCAAAATCAAACCCAAACCCCAAGTCACAAGCCTTAGGGCCTAGACTCAACCCCCCTAACTGAAGGTGGTCCGAAAAATCTGACCTTTCAAACCCTCTTCCACCTATACTCATTTCCCCTGGCAAAACCCCCACCTTTCAAACCTCTTCCAACTATACTCGTTTCCGCTGGCAAAAGCCCCCAAAGGATTGGAAAAAGGTTGGCAAAACCCTGATGCTTAAGGTATTATTTTTTAATTTCTTGAAATATTTTTCGTCTATTTTTTTGCTTCTAAGGTATTCTTTTTTCATTTCTTGAAATACTTTTCGTTTATTTATTTGCTTCTAAGGTATTCTTTTTTCATTTTTTGAAATACTTTGGGTTTATTTATTTGCTTTTTTCTATTTTGAAAGTTCTCGGTAGAACCTCCCTCTTTTCTTAACCCAAATTCAAAACTTCTTTCGAATTTCAAGATTAAGGTGCATTCGAAGCGGGCTCTGCCAGCAGTCCCAGTCCTAGCGAGAGGAGGTCTTGTGGCTCGACTCTCGTCAAATTTTTTACGGGACCCTATTCTCTATTAACTCTTTCAATATCTTTACGCCCGATACCAAGGTGGAGACCAGGTTCCTACCGACAAACTAGAAAAAAAATAATATGAAATCGGGAAAAACACAAATAAAAACGATGTTCTGAATGAGAAGTAATTCCATTAATGAGAAAAAGGACAACTACCCCCAAGTTAGAAGAAGCGCGCACCAAATGAATAATTTATTCAAAATCCAAAATCCACTGCCAAATCCAAAATCAACTGCCCTCAAATTTGAAGAAGCTTGCAGCAACCCACCAAATGAATAATTTATTCAAAATGCAAAATCAACTGCCCCCATCCGCCAAAAAAAAGAAAAAGAAAAAAAAGGAGAAGAAAGAGAATCATCAAGCTGTTGTGACATTGAAATACACAGTGTAGAACTCATCCCTCAAGCTCAATAGAGGCATAAGCAAGAAATTCCTCATGGGTCCCTTGGCCATAAAGCTTATACCATGATACTGGCTTAACCCCTTATGAATTCCAAAGCTCGCCTTACTTTCGAAATCAGAACCAGAAGTAGTTGGTTTACACTTCAACTGGACTGATTTTTCTGCGTAAATGTAACAACCTCTATGGCTCTCTGACTCGAAAGAAACACTGTCTTTCTTCCCATCCAACCCAGCAACCACCATGAAATTCGACTCGTTTCCTGAATTTGACAAGAAAAGCTCAGTGCCTGGGCCCCGGTGCATCACAGTCGTCCCTGGAAGATCGAATGGCTCCAAAGCCATGATCTTTCCAATGATGAATGTATCATTGGCTTCTCCATTGGTCTTTGGGACCCATCTAAAGGTGGAATTCGCTGCCTCATCAGTCCCCGGCAATGGTAGAGGCTCCATTGTTATAATGCCATTTGACTTCGACAAGACAAGGCCTGAATCTTGCGCTTGAGTGAGAGTTATTAAATGAGAGTTATAAGTGGGTGGAATTGGTGTTATTGAGTCAGATAGAGATTCTTTGGCGCCCAAGTTTAGGTCCCGGTCTCCATGGCTTAGCCCCGCGAGAAGGTAAGGACCGAATAGAATTGCTTTAATGGAAGCATACTCAGGGCGATCATCTGTGGAATCAGAAGTGCATAGTTAGAGAAGTGATCTGAGGAATTAGAATATTCATAGTTAGAGAATTTTTTCTCTCTCTTCATGGGTTCAAGGAAAAATATTCTCTACATGGGTTCAAGGAAAAATATCAAATCTGAGGAATTAGAAGTAATGGTTACCATTTTTTTTTTCCTTTTTTGCTTCAGGGGTTAGTAAGAAATAAGAAAATAATTTTGGTTTTGGAGATTCTTTCCAGTTCAGTTTCATGCAAATCATCCAATCTGTGGAATGGAAGGAGGCAATTTCCCCCCCTTAATATGGGGGAAGGGGTTCAAAGGAAATTCTGAAAAATGGCTAATTTCGTGATTAGAAACCATTTTCTTTCATTTTCATGGGTTCCAAGGGAAATCATAAACTCTGTGAAATTAAAAGCAATAAGTAGACCTTTTTGTGTCTTTTTTGGCATTGTGGGTTCAAACGAAATTAAAAAAAAAAGACTAGGTTGATCACAAATAGGCAACCGAGGTGATACCTTGTATTGCATCGGTCCTCAATTCAAGAGGGAGTTCCAACAATAGTTCATCTTCTGAGGTCCATTTTCTAGTGACAGTCAGGAAATTGCCTGTTCATAGAAATAAAAACATCATTGGAAGTCCATACCACAGGTTTCAAACGACAATATATTAGAAGAAGCACTTATTATTGTTGAATCAAAGATTAAAGTAAGCAGAAGCATGTGCAGGGAATGTATAAGGTGATGGCTGATATTTACTGCATATGGGAGAGTAGGGATCCCAGAGAACTCTGGGCACATGTATAACAAATTCCATTGGACTGTGATATATGGTTGTCCCAGGCTACAACCACCATGTATCACCACTGATATATGTTGGAAGGACTGGGGCCGTAGTGAAATTCACGAGGTGCAGTTGATCCCAACCATCCATCAGTGGGAACATATGATGGATGTATCATTGGTGGCTTGGAATTCAACAGACCAAACTCCATTGTACTATGTACAGTTCACCTAAATTAAAAAAGGAAATGTTCATTTATGGTTACTCTTATTTAAAATGCGACAAACCAAAGCTTATCTAAGATAATAAATTGGTGCCAGTATATCACAGACAAATTTACTATCACTGTCTCACCACCCTGAGATGTTGCAGTTTTTATTCACAAAATAAGTAGCATTGAATCATTTTATCCATATCAGGGTTACCCCAACTTTTGTTTTTGAAAATTCTTCTTCAATCTAGATTAGTTACAATCAACATAACTACATCAAGTAAACAAATGGTGAAATCAACAGTGAATTTAACTCACTAAAGGAGATCAAAAGATGAGAATAGCCAACATAGACCAGTACCTGGTGATGGAACATCCAACTTTTGAGAATTTAGAGTAGCTGATGCCTTATTTGACCAGTTTGGTATTCGTACATTTAGTGTTGACTCTTGGCTATTCCCCTGCACATAGTTGATATAAATTAAAAAATATACAGTTGGTTCGACCCATTTTGTAGTTGCATCCTAATAAGAAGCAAAGACGTTAGAGGCTAAGAATTTGAAGAATGCAGAAAATGACACAAGGGACTAAAGAAAATCGTTTGGGGTCTTCACCTCCAAAAGAAATGAACAGTGATAGTGAGAGTGGGTCTTACTGGAATGGAACATACCGTTATTGGTAGGTTCCACTCTATCACCATCACCTTCCATGTCATTGAATGGTGATGCCCCCAATGGACCATAGTTTTCCACAGTCCATTAGATTATAATTCACTTTCACTCTAAACATCATGTTAATGAAAAAACCTAAAAAATCATCCCATGGTGTTCATCTCAGCGATAGGAAAACTGGGTAGGAATCAAACTTCAAACAATACCTCCTTTGTTGAGAATTTCACAGAAATGTGTAGATACATGTCTGAAGAAACAACAGGCTGAACTTTCTGAGTTAATGTAAGTCCTCCTGAACTCCAGTTAAAAGAACTTGATATAAACTGAGCAATGTATAACTTGGGGGTGGCACCATCTTCCTGAAAGTATATTGAGTCTCCTAACTTTGAAAATGACTCTATACCTATAAAAGAGCAAATTCACAATTGAAACGTGTCTTAGACTCTTATTAATGACTACAGAAGGCACAAGATGAAGCAATAAACATCACAAATCAAGAACATCAGCAAGCAAAATTATTTTAAAAACCAGACACTAAACAAACTTTTAACGTGATGCAATTACTACAAAAGGGAAAGTATGCTATAATCCAATGGACTAAGAAAAACCATGGAAAATTGAATCATAAAATACTTAGCTATTTTGTAAGATATTACATCCAATTGAGGAAAAATGAACCAAAGGAAGAAATAATTCAACCTGTTCCATAACAACACCAAAATGTAGTGAATGGAGTTCCCCATTTATGAAGAGATATGGCCTTGGACACCCCGCGACCTAGAGGTAGCATATAAATCATGATCCCAGGTTGTCTCCCTCTTTGGATACTCAAAACACCGTTTGTCAAAGCGCGCTCGTAGTAATCGGCATACGCAATTTCCTTGGTCCATCGGAACAAGTGACGTGAAACCTATAATCATGACAACAGGCAACAGGGGTTATAGGGGCAAATTAATGATAGATTACTATATTTCAGAAATAGATATATGCAAATGTAAACCATATTGATCCAACAGTAAATTAAATGAACATATACTAGAAGTAAACAACATATTTGAAATGAAATAATTATCAAGAAGATATCAGCAATTAAACAGAACTACCATTAGAAGAAACAATTATGGACTTATATATATCAAGAAAGGTCTAAATTAGTTCCAAACTCTGTTTTAGGCACCAATTAGGTGCACTACTGGTTTCCTGCACTACTTCCAAAGAAAAATTTGCATCAACAAATCAGCCATAGTTGAAATTAGTGTTTTAAAGCTTCGCTGGCCTATCGAACTGGTCGCTAGCTGAAACAGTCTGGATCAGTGAACCAGATTGGAACCGGCTGTTTCTCGAATGAAAATTTCTATGGAAACCAAATATAAAAAATAAACCGTTGGAAACCTGGTGAGTTCAGGTGTCTTTAAACCTGGACCAGTCACCCAGGCCTTAAAGCTTCGCTGGCCTATCGAACTGGTCGCTAGCTGAAACAGTCTGGATCAGTGAACCAGATTGGAACCGGCTGTTTCTCGAATGAAAAGTTCTATGGAAACCAAATATAAAAAATAAACCGTTGGAAACCTGGTGAGTTCGGGTGTCTTTAAACCTGGACCAGTAACCCAGGCCTTAAAGCCAGCTCACCAGTTCTATAAACACTGACCAGAATCATTCATTACACATTTAGCAAGGTTGTATGCCATATTGAGGCCTTGGTGTAGTTAAACTCATGCATATTTAGGCATCGATATTGAGATGATGTATTTATGTGTACTCATGCACATGCATGCACATACACATGCACACAAACATATGGATATATCTTTCTATGTGTGTATGAATGCATTTTTGATGTAAACTTGTCGGAATTTCTGGAAACTTTAGGAAACTTTTTTCCTTTCCAAAATAGTTGGAGACATACGAAGTTTTAAGCAAATATGGTCCTAATGCCACATTTAGTTGGCATTCTAAATTGCAGAAAACATCTAAATATGGTTAGCATAGTGCATTTCACATGACATGATTATTCCAAGAGTGTCTTAAAATTTGAAGAATTTTCTATTCAAGAAATCATCAGAACTATTATTAGGAGAAACATATCTTGGGCTTTCAAACTATAGAAAAGAATTGCAGACCTTGAGCATGTTGTAAGTTGTACATGATTCTTCATTCTCTGTCTCGAGCGTTGTAGCAAGGCGTTTTGGGTCAGACCTGGAAACAAATAATCATGCCTAGGAGATTATCGAACAATGCATGGTATATACAGGATTTGAAATATAATCAAGCTGAAAATAGATCAAATCCTAAATTTGTTCTTCTAAATGGCATCCGTTAAAAGCATTCAATGTTCATCGCGAAGGAAACATTCAACACTTCATAATTGTAATAACATAAGTGGAATAGTTATAGCTAGAATGGGTGCGTCTCCCTCCCTCCTGGTCTTTATCAGTTACAATTCAGTGCGAGAATGCGGGAGGGTGAGGTGGACTTGAACTGAGCACTAGCAGCAGGCGCGCACACACTCACAGAGAGAGAGAGAGAGAGAGAGAGAGAGGACGGTCACTCTACTTCTTTACTTTTAATTTAATTAAGTAGTAAGTTCGTTTATTTAGTTTTAGTATATTACTAATAAGAAAAAACGTAAAAAAGTAA